TATAATGTTTCATAACCATTCTGTTTTGTTACTGTCTGCAAACCTGACTAGTTTAATAACTACAATGCAATTTAAATCTGATATACAGTAAGATATACTGATATACAGTAATTAGAAAGAGCAGTGGTCCTAGTGTAGATCTCTGTGGTACTCCTGTATTGACATCACCCCAATTTGAGCATTCAACTATCATAGTATTCTGTTTTTTATTCACCAAAATGAAGATTCCTCTATGTTTCTCTTATTGTTATCGTGTTTACTCACTGAAAGTGGCCAGGCAGTTCATTAAAGGTTGTTGCTACCTTTTTTTTTGTATACAGGAGGGCATAAATGGCATCATCATATTTTACAGTTATCCTGGGTTTCCTACATTTTGGTGTTGTTGCTCGTCATTGGGTCTAATTTAACAACATGTCTAATTGTATCACAGATTCATATTTCAAACTGATGTGATGATATCCAGTTAGCAGAGGTGGAAAAATGATTTAGGCTGCTAGTGTATATCATAACCATACCAGGCCCTCATAAATATAAAATCATAAGGGCTTCTACAGATAAAATGCGATTGTCCTTTCCATTCAATACACAGCTTGAAACCTGACAAACAAGGATGAACAGCCTTTTCTTTTCTATTATACAAATTTTATTTCCCTGATGTGTAGCAGTAGGAGTGTAATATATATTGTCACATGAATAAATATGATGACTTGGCAAGTAAATGAAATGCCAATGGATAAGCTTTAATGGTTGAATGACCAGGTGTAAATGTTATATTCGTATGGAAGTGAGAACTATCTTAGATGATACCGAGACTCAGTACATTCCTCTCTTGATAAGTAGTCATTTTTAGTATTTACTCATTTCTAGTACTTCAGATTCTAAAATCTGTGAATTGGAGGCTTTCATTTATTACTTAAATCTGTCCTATTCATTGGTAAAGAAAAGCATAGCAGATAAAAACAGGAATTGTATTAATTCGAAAAAGTTGCAGACATAACTGCAAACCCGTGTTAGTTTTTACGGTTTTCAATCAATATCACTCGGCACTCACCCTCCGTTTAAGATGTCTGACAGAACCAGAGTGTTTTAATATGTTTCTCAGGAATTCACTGGGTCTTATAAATTCAGAAGGCAGGAACAGCTGAAGTGGTGAAATGAGTGCTGATGGTGCATCTGTTCATTCCTTGCTAGCATTTGGCAGTAACAGACATTGATTGTTTGACTTAAGACTTATGAGGGGTTCTGCTGAACGAGCTTATAAAAGAATGCCTGCCCTACAATCATACGCATCTTATGAAACACCCCTTGTGAAAAGAGCTCCACAGATAATATTTACAACATAAATTGTTTATTGACCACTCCTAGATTTTTTATTGGTAACTCATTTCACTGTTTATTTTAGGCTTGTGAAGTAGGCTTGAAATAAAGGAGGATATCATGAACTGTACCAATGTTGTGCCACACAAATAAAATCTATTGGTATCTGTAACTTGTACTGGAAAACACTGCAGTCCTCAACAGCATATTTTTTACTGATGCATTAAATGTTGGCACACTGGCTGTGCTCTTTATAAGGACAACAGCATTCGTTGATTGTGTTTAAATCTACTGCCGTTTCCTGAATAAAGAATAATAATGTCTGTTAAAACGTATAAAAATAAATTGCTTTTAGAAATTACACTGCAACTGTCTTGGACAGAGAGCTGGGTGTTAACAGGTCACAGCCCAGTGAGACAGAGGCGAGTGTTGACTCAGCTGGGAGGAAACATTCAACACTCCACTGCAATTAGAAGTGCTGGTGGCTAAGAGATAGACCGTGGTCATACTGTATAGAACACAAATATTTCCTTTAAATTTATCAACATTCAAATATATATTTTAAGGAACCCACCACTGTGTATATATACTGTATATTAAAAACAAATCTATGTTTTAAATACCTAGAAACCTACTGCATCTGCATATTTTTCTCTGCGAAAGGCTAGTAAGCAATATTGGGTTTATTAAATACTCAATTTCAATAACTATAAAATCTTAATAAATTGCTCAGCCAATGAGATTTAACTATTTAACACCAGTTAAATTCCTTAGCTGATGCTGGGGCACAGTTTAAAGCTGATGTTTATGTAGTCGTGTCCTGCATAATTGTGCACTTCATTCTGATCAGATCTTGTTGAGCAGATTCTCATAATCATGCCCAAAGTAAGAATGGAAAAAAATCAGTTTTTCCGCAGTGTATGGTGAAGTATTAAAGCTGGTCTTCTGGAACAAACAATCATTTGGGAATTAATTGCACTTCTCGATAAAAGCTGTAACAGCAGCAACATTCACAAGACACATTGTGTTCGAATCAGCCTCATCTTCTATCCAGCATCTGGCTGTCTGTAAGTGCGAAAAGAATCCACATATTAACATAGTTGTGTTTTAAGTCACCAATATTTAATTTTGAAAAGTTTGAGGTGATATGTTTACTCCTTAAAGAAATATTCCAAAATAATCTACAACAAATTAAGCTTTAAAATTGATTGATGAATTTAAGGTATTGTGATGAGGAATGGTTCAGGAGGATCTTTTTTATACCTCTAAATATAATAAAAGGATTTGTTAAAGGTTTAATAGATTCTAATCTCAATCTGAGTAGATTGTACATGGAGGACAAATGTAGAGTAGCACTATATCTGAGTGCTTCAGTATACTTGATCTGATACTCCAATCAGATACCTCAGCATTTCTTTATTTGTTCGTTTACAGCTCTAAATGCCTGCTTGAGAGAATTATATCCGCTGATCTAAATAAGGTCAGGATGTTTTGCCAAGTGCCTGAAACACAACTTCGTGTAATCATGGTGCTTTAGCAATGCAAAAGTGGGCAAACAGAGCCATATTGAAGAGGAAAAGGGTTATGCTGTCAGTTCTAAAATATCCAATTTTCAATAAATTGCTTTGAAGCCCTAAAGAAATTACAACACCTCCTTAAGAATGAACAAGATGGGGTGTATGATCTTCTCCCCTTATATTTTAATTGTTCTAGAATTGGAGAGGTTTCTACTGAGAGATTTACAAGAGTATGGGATATATGAATAATTCCGTCCAACAAATAGGCATTCCCTTTCCCTCGATCTTGCATCCTCGTGCCACAAGGAAGAACTTTTGTGTTAAAGGACTGTGAGAGATCCCATGGTCTCCACTGCTTGGTTCTGTCTGCCTGAGTGACTCAAAAGGGAGGTGTTGCCTGAGGGAAAAGGAAATGGCTCCTAAGATCACTGGATCTGGTGACAGTCCAAGCGAACTCGAGTTACAGGAAGGTTAGGCAGCAGCTGTGGGGAAAAATTAGGACTCGTATCTCTAAATTGGATGTTTGAAAGGCTTTACAGTAACAGTAGTACAAATAGGCAGTGGCCACATCCTTTGCTGAAAGTCAAGCTCCTGTGGAGGTTAGAAGCTGTCAAGAATGCTTGAAGTCAGATTACCTCAAAGTCAGCCAGTACATCTTCATCTATATCACTATATCTAAATATCTGTGAAATTAATCATAAATCTGTTGCCAGGCTTACATGAATACATCATTAAGGTAGTGAAATTAGATCAAACGTATCTTGCTACCATTTAAATGCTGTACCATTTTTCATTGTAAGCCAGTATCAAATGTAAGGAAACAATGTAAGGATTAGTATTACAATATTATAAAGGATTGGAGATTCAATTTCACGAGTGAGCCCATTCTTACTCCTAATTCCCATAGTTTTTGTAGATGACATGGAGACCACTGAGCACTTAGGATCGTATAGCTGAATAGCAGGCATAGACTAGAGTAAAAAAACAATGGAATTGTAGTACCAGGAAAAAATAAGGAGAAAAGTGAAACAAACTTTAAATTTCAACCCCCCAAGAAGAAAATACTGTATTTTCTTATTAATTTGAATGAGACACCAACCTGTGCACAAATCTAGAAGGATAGAAGTGAGCACTACATTTTTTACATCATGTTTATTTTACTATTACCTGTCCTAAAGATTGTAAAGACCTGCTTTTGCTGGTTAAGTTATCTATTCAATTACGAAGTATACTTTACAGGTTTTATACAGTATAACATGGTGTGAGAGCTTTGTCAACATACGTTATTCTGGGCACCAATAATGTTCTCTACAAATGTCAGCCCAGCCCACAATGACCTGTCCTACTTAATACTGTTCTTGAATAACTAATGAATTATATATTGCACATATTTTCTTGTGGTGAAAAAAACCCAACATAGATTTATTTAATACCTTTAGTGAGATTTGACTTCACTTTGCAAGATAAAACATGAAATGCCAGCACAAACACGTACAGTAAGTCTAAGATAGGACTTGAATACAGATACAGATTAAGGGTCTATTATTACGCTTAGGAAGGACGTTTCACAATAAGGGACCTTTTAGGTAAAAGAACCTGTTACCTGTTGTATTCAGTTGTTCCATGAGCAAGTTCAGATGTCCAGATTTAAAAAAAAGTAAAGAACTCACCCAAAAGTGTCAGATGGTAGCAGCTCTGCTAAGTATAGAATGGATTTGAGCTGTGTCACATGTCAGAAGTCAGCAAAAGAAGTTTAAATCGATACAAAAATAGACAAGAAGTGAAAAAAGTGGTGAAGAACAATATTTTTCCAGGTCAGTTTTCTTCAAAGATTGAAGATCTAGGTAGACATCTAAACACAGAGATACAGTAGCCAAAAAATAAAAAGAACAAAAGCATGAACTAAAAGTTGCTAAGGAGCTATATAATTCAGCCATAAGACTACTATAATTTACCTCTGTCTGAATGTTTCATACAGTAAAGTAAAATTTTGGTTTCATACAGTAAAGTAAATAAACAGTTTAGATGTTGACACGGCAGGATGTCCAATAAAATTAAATTAAAATGTAATTAAAAAGATTACCCAGGGTAACACTTACAGGTTGACACAAGTGACCGCAAAATATCCGAAGTACACGGAGTTCACTTACTGTTTTGTCGTTCCAGGGGCCCATTTCAATAGGCATCAGCACAGCCATGCTACCTCCTGCCGCCACTTCCACCTGGGCCCTCAGCCTCAGATGTCCACCGAATTCCCTCTCCCCCACCCTGGGCAGTCTCCGCCGGGCATGAGCCCCCATCTGCCCCCTGCACACCAGCACGCCTCTCCGCTTCATCAACCCCTGACCCCCCTGCCAGCCCCGCAGTTTCAAGATGTACCAGGACCCCCTTTCCTACCTCAGGCCTTACACCAGCAATACCTCATCCAGCAGCAGCTACTGGAGGCCCAGCACAGAAGAATCCTTCCCCACTCCAGGTAGCACACATTCTTCTGACTGAGCGCAGGGCCGTTGTCCAGCTCAGGTGTCCGCTATAAAGGAAAGCTACTTTTGGAATTCCAGTCCAAGTAATTATACTGGAACAGCACTGACACTAATGTTTATTACATCGTTTTTTCCTATCATAAAAGATTTACAACACCCAGTGATTCCAAAACACAGAGCCAGCCCTTTTAAATCCTTTTTTTTAGTTCTTTCCTAAGCTTAATTAGCCAATTCAGAATTACAAGCACTGCAGATGACATTAGTAGACTGTTTTGTAAATTACAGCAGTAAATGTATACAAGGCTTACTGAAAAGTATGTGCTTTTTAAAAAATATGGTTATGGGTTTAATTTATGCAACATGAGTGATTGACTTATTTGTACTGTATATGCAGTTTATCACAACACACAAAGGCAATTCAAAAAGCGTTCAGTACGAAAGTAGCTCTTTATAAAAACATGTTATCTTTGTCCCGTTTGCAGACGTACACAAGAGCGAGTCCCTCTTCATCCCCACAGGCTGCGCTCTGGTTATGACTACGCCCCTTCGCTACATGTTCCTCAGCCAATCGGACAGCAGCCAAGATATCTGGCAGAAGGCACTGATTGGTGAGTTAACGTCGAATATAGTCTCTGATAACAATTCATTCTTTTTGCTTATTATGAATTCTGGAACTGCTCCACCATATTTTTTCCCCCCGCACACTTGAAAAATGAAGAAATTGGGATTTTTTTACTTGTAAAATGAAAACCAAATAAACAGTCTGTGGTTCCGCAAATAATGAAGTAAGGTAGAGATGGATTTTAATGATTATTTATGAATTAATTTAGCTTGGTTCAAACTAAATGCTCCTTTATTGTTATACCATAGACCACACCCTAAACCATATTTCACCTAGATTTTTAGGTATCTTCTAACTTTGCAATAGATACAATAATTGTGCTTGTGCTGTTGTGTTCTGACATGAAGACATGAAAAATGATGGATATACCATTTATCAAGTTCTCTTTTTCCCTTAAAGTGACCTGGCAGCAATAAAGGGCTGATCTGTGGCTGAATATCTGTTTCTGTTTTTCCCCCCAGGGATCTCAGTGTCGATGCCGGACTCTCTCACCATCAGTTTCAAGTCCGGCAGCACTATCAACATTACTTGGCATCACCCAGAATGCATCACTTTCCAAGAAACACATCATCGACTCAAGTGGTAAGCTGGCGAACTGTATCTCTCTTCTTTTCAAAGGCCTTACCGTACAGTACAATTCAATTTTTCTATGCAGACACCTTGAATCTGAAAAACAAGGTTTGTTTTATGAACAATTGTAAAAAAAAGAGATCCACTTAAAAAACATGGTGATTCTAAAAACATTTATGAAGAACATTTTTAACTGAACATTTAAACAAGATAAAACAAATAGGGCTGGCATGGTGATGCAGTGGTTAGTGTTGCTGCCCTGGGGCCGTTGGTTCTATTCCTAGGGTGCCATCTGTGTGGAGTTTGTATGTTCTCCCCGTGTTTGCATAGATCTTTTTTGGGTGCTCCTGTTTCCCCCAGCAGTCTAAAGACATACTAGTAGGTTATTTATTAAATTAAATATCTATTACATGTTTCTGGAATCATTTTGAATTAAATGATCATTCATGCCTGGCTGTGATGCACTCAAGTAACTTTTGATATTGTGTTAATTGTCTAGTCACTACAGATCTCCACTTCGTAGTGATTGATGGTAACCTGGCTGCACAGTGGTACATTAATCATTTGCTGCCCTTCCTGTGGCTGCTGATATGACAACATTCTAGTAGTACAACATATTTACTGCTCATTTACCAATGCCTTTCTTGTGCGATGAGAATGTGACGAATGTTAATCGATATAATGAATTTAATTATGTTTTGTCTATGCTACAAAGTGACAGTACACCTGCTATTTAAAGGTTATGTCACTTTCATGATGATAACTTTGTGAAGGATCAAATATCAGAAATTTCACAACCCTCCTCAGTTACGAGGAATGAACCTGGGAGGCAGTGGCAAAGATGGAGTGGCGATATAAAAAATGTGCACAGAGATGCAGTGGACTGGCATCCCATACAGGGTGCCAAGTCCTTTCCAGGATAAGCTCTAGGTCCTATCACAGCCCTGTACTGGATAGAGCAGTTCAGAAAATGGATAGATGGATATGTGTGCAATTTTTTAAATTGTCAAGTTTTAATACAAAGCTGCAGTCCATCAGAAGACGTTGATGTGATTGAGCTGTTTGGTAGTCTATCATTTGAATTTAACTTCGGTATGTCTAAACTGACATTAAGCCTGACAGATCAACTGACACAAAAATGTTTTGGGTGCAAATCAAAGCCTGTCCACATTCTTGTCTTGCTTTAAGTCAATCTAGAACAAAATATTCAGCAGGTATACCTGACACAGTTACTGTTTGTGATTTTTCAAAGGTTATCCATGAAATCCGAAACTATCCTTATCCACAACTGCACCTGCTTGCCTTGCAAGGACTCAACCCTTCACGACATGCCTCTGCGGTGAGAGAAAGCTATGAGGTGGGATTGATTTCTTTTCTAGGCTACGCCTGTCCCTTTTCATTTTCTGTTTTGTGATGACTAATGAAGGGATTATGAGTAGCTGAGTGCTGTCCTCTATGGCGTTCTTATACTCATGTCAGATGCAACTGAAAGAGGGAGTGAGTTCTTGTAATAACCCTTCCTAAACTGTGGATAATTGAGAAGTTTTTTATTTAAAAGCCATAATTTCAGTTCGTTTCAGTGTATTTAAGAATAAGATGAGGAAACGGAACTTGCCTGATCTATTTAATGCAAGTACCTGGTCTTCCTGCCTTAATTTATCTGAGTCCTTCTAAACACACAGGTCATTATGACTATTTGCTAAGCAGAGACTGTAATCCAGAGCGAGAATATGAAAATAATATATTAGATATAATACAAAATGAGGTGCACAGTATTTTTGGACACACATTGATATCATCAATTAATATTAACATGGATAATTCTCCCTCACAGATGTCTGTATGGAAGAAGTCACTGACCATGAGATGATAGTTATATATTCTGATGAAGGCTTAATGCCTTCGTCTTATTAAATTCATAGTCTGTGAATCAGGCCTCTCAATGTGGCAAGTGGAAAAAAAAAACGTCCCTACTCCCTGACAGAGGTGATGAAGGTGGTGTTGATTGTGTTCGCAAGCAGATATTCTTGTACTTGCTGTGAATAAGTCACACTGTCTAATCCAGTCCTGTGGTGTTGATTGCAGGAGCTGTTGCAGCTAGAAGACAGGCTGGGAAGTGTGAATCGGGGAGCAGTGCAGACCACCATCGAGAGATATACATTCCCACACAAATACAAGAAGGTAAACTTTGCTTAATGTTCCTTAATGTTTTCATGATAGAAATAAATATGTCTGTTCATATATTAAATCAGATGTCTGTACTGTTTCTTCCTGAGATCATATTTCCAAGTACATTTGATGTTACCTGTATATTTTTATGGGTGAACAGGCTGGTTATTTTCATTGTTCCCCCTCTTGGAGAGCTACTGTACCTTTACACTGCTGTAACTGAATTTCTAGACAGGGTGGAATAAATTTGTTAATGGGTCTGCACAGCTCAGGGTTATCTGATTAGATAAGCCGCCTAGATAGAGTAAAGACACCAGATGGCTTGACAACTTTTAGGTGTATGCACAGCCAATGCTTTACTTAAAGGTAGGTTTAAACAGCAGAAAAGATTAAAGAAGAGATATAGTTGGGATAAAAATGGTCTAATATTAATTTTAGAATGACAGAGTCCTGGAGCAAAAGGCAATCTTTACCACTCAGTTTCCTCATTGTACCTATTAAACAATGGGCAGTGATAGGATAAGCCTTACTTGAGAGAAAAGATATGCATCTTTCACTTTTGTGGTAATATTAAATTTTCTTCTTTTAAATCTGCAAGGAAACTTTTGTCATCCTCGCTTACAGTAGATTGTGTGCAGTATATACAAGAATTGCATTTTTATGTATTCTTGTAAACGAGCCAAAGTTTGTTGGTTGTTAAGAACAGTTTAGAGTCTGAGTTTGCCCTGCTAAGAATTATTTCTTTTAATGGGCTTACTTATTCAGATGAAAGTTTCGGTCTACATCTATGTGTTGAGGTTGGTCAATGGTAATATTTATGTGTCTCTGAAGGCCGAGCACACTGTTTCTGGCTCTGGAACTCCTTCTAACTGTATATACCGATCTTATTAATTGTGAGCATTTTATAAACTGTGCCTTAGGTTTGTTTAATAGTCAATTGTTTTTAAGGTATTGCCTATTTATTTCTCAATTGAAGAATCTATCTGAACATGCTTGTGTTTCCCTGTCTAGTAGGAGGTTTTATTATTTAATTTTTATATTTTGCCTGTGCTGAAGCAGGTGTGAGAACAAATAATACTTAACCTCTGTTAATGTCCCCTTTACATAATACAGTGTTTCATGCCCCAGAGCTAGACGTCTGCTACCCTGAACCTCTTTAGCCCCCTCCCCACACTGATTCACCTTTCCCCTCTTTCTTCTACCATAAAAGAGGGTGGAGATCTACTTCTCAGCCTCCTGTGGTGCAAGTACTCCACATGCTCTCTGTAACTAGCACACCCCTGTCAAGAATTAACGGCAATAAGCCCTTGTGAGCATCTTAACCTTCAGCCAGCTGCTTCCTTCTCTTCTCTCAGAAAAAAGGGCACCACTATCAGAATTCATGCAGGGTCTTTATATATGAATAAGTGGGCAAAATAATAATAGTAATAAATGTCTAAAATACTGGAACATGAGTTTACTGGCAGCAGTGAAACAGCCTGAGTCATTCAGATAGACAGCAATGTCTGGAATGAAATCATTGATATACACCTTCTCATCTGCCAACATATTAATGTACAAACGTGAGACTATCAGAGTTGCTAGGATACACATTTCGAGGGTCACTAAAATCTATTTATCTCCCACCCAGTGTCTGGCAATCCATGTAACATGAAAATTCAATAGAAATGTATGCATTGTCAAATGATTACTTTGACTAAAGCCATTTCACAGCTTCAAGCTAAATCATGGAACTGAAATACACAATATCAATAGCAACTAGGTCTTCATTTTTCTAAACTTATGGCAAACTAAAGAGAATGGAACTTGTGTAAACATATATTGAGATATAGTGCTCAGGTACCTGGAGAAATATCAGAGTCTGCAGTAATGGATTAATGATCCTAAAATGTGGTTAGAAGTAATTAAAGAATTGAATATTAAAGTGGTTAATTGATGTATTCACTGTCAAATAATAGGGAATTCTCTGGATTAAGACTAACAGGAAACTGAAGAGGACCAAAGACAAGTTTTATATCTCTTTCTCATTTAAAGAATATTGGAATTTGAAGTAGAAAATGCATTCCTGAATATTCAACAGCTATGAATCAACTGCTCAAACTCTACTTAAAGGACATCAGCTCACTTTTTGTTTAAAATAACTCAATTAAAAGTTTTGGAAGCAGCATGTTTTACTGTTATCTGAGCATCAAAAAAGAAGCTGACAGATTGAGAATCAAAGCCTTTATTTTAGGTAACACCTATGGCAGTGGTCCACAACCCTGGTTGTAGAGAGATATTGTCTTGCAGGCTTTAAAGAAGGCCTTAAATGACAGAGATCTGGAATACATGTTAACTCCTATTAATTATGCTACTGACTGATCCAATTCTGTCATTCAGAGCTCAGTTGAAATTAAAACCAATAAACACTATGGCTCTCCAGGAACAGAGTAACGAGTTTATTAGAATATAGAAGGTGCAAGTTTCACTTCTACCCCAAAACATGACTGATAGTGGAGCTGAGGAACCCTGAACTCCCAGGCCCCAGGCCCTGTTCATGTGGATATTGCATAGTCAGGTTTTCCATTCTGAAAATGTAAAAGTAATATTTGACGGAACTACAGCATTCAGATCCATGTTTCAAAATGGATGCCCGCAAACACAGCACTGGCTGCTGTATTACAGAAAGAGATAATGTATCTTAACACTGGTTAAATATATTTGATACTCTCAGTATCAGGATAATCAGCCTTTATAAGTACATAATAACATGTTTTTACATGAAGTTTGAATCAATAGTTACTTTTCTTTTTATACCTCACCAGTCTAGACAAACATTAAATAGTTTGACTCATCACTACAACCCTGGCACTAGTTCCAAAGGAAAGAGGACTGGGCACAAGGTCAGCCAATAATCCCACTTCTAAATCTCTTTTTACACACTGATCTCCATAGGATCTCTGTACAGAAAGTTGAATTATTTGGAGTGTTGAGGAGTCTCAGCTGCAGACTCATAGGTATTTAGAACCGGGCCTGGCCAATGTGACTTCACACTACCCCAGTGGTACACAGGAACTCCATAAACAATAGTTTTAGTTTATGTCTCTTGGCTTGAGTTTTTTGTGAAAATTGGAAAATAATACTTAGAAATAAATCTTGATTCTGCTATTTTGCATTATTTGTTACCATTAAAAGACAAAGGTGTACAGGAAAATTAACTACAGGGTAAATGATGCAAACTAAAAAACATAATAGCCACTTAGGTTAAACAAATACTGTACTTTACTGTCTGACTGTTTTGGTAATTTTAATAATTTTATATAAATAAACATGTGATGTGGCATATTACTTGAAGGGTATTCCTTTGTATTTGTATAATTAAAACACCAGGACCAGCTTTACTTTAAATGTCTGAAATGCAGCAAATCAAAACTCAATAGTAACAGGATAGCCAATGATTTTTAAATCTTACAATGTGTATTTTAACTAAGTTAATATAGTCACAGTGTACAGCATACATTACATTCTGAATTTGCTTCCTTTACAGAGAAGACCACAGGAGTTAAAAATAGCTTTGGATGCAGAGGAGGAGTCAGATATTGATGAGAAATGCACAATCTGTCTTTCTATGCTGGAAGATGGAGAGGATGTCAGGTAATTATCTCTACGTATTCTCCACAGTACATATCCATTACTATTGCTTGCAGTTTTCAAACCATGAATTGCAAATGAAGGAAATTCAGTGACTTCAGATGTATTAGAGCTTAAATTTGGTTTTATTGACATTGGTTTGTTCTGGTAACTGTAATTTATATCAAATTAAATTCAATTTCTAATTCAAACACATGGTTATATATTTAATTTTAATTTAATGTAGCTGTTAATTGAGTAACGGAGTTAGTTAGCTCTCTCTGGTTAGCTCGGTTATGTTGCAAATTGTGAATATACAGTATGCAGGAAAAGGTGGGAACCGATGTTTAAATTAGGAAAACCTCTCACACTGTAAAAGTTTATCAGGATGCTGCAGAACTCATCCTAGGCTCACCCACTGCTGTTTTGTATTTATAGTTTGCTTCTGTGTACTACATTCAAAGTAAAACACCTTATGTTTTCAGAAGCTGTGGGTTTTGATGCATTTTTATATCAGTGGCACCCATGTCTGTATATTTTATCCTGTAGACCTGAAGATGTGGCATACAATTTGTTGCTGGAAAGGAGTCAATTTTGAATAATCGGCAAAAGATTAAATTGCAGACATTGCAATACAATTAAACTTTTTTAAGAAAGATTCCCAGCTTGTAATGTGCTGAAGCGTCCAAAACTGCAGAAAATTAATGTTGTTATTTGAGTGGTGCCAGCAGGACACACATCTCTTTTTCAGCATCTTTTTTTTCATTTTCAGTAAAATCAGTGATCAAAGCTGAGATTAAAAGCATGGGATACTTAAGCGTGGACGATTTAGTGCTTTCTGTCACTTAGCACTTAGCTCATGACACTGGCAATCTATATGTAAGGAGATTTTATTTGTCATTGTGATATGAAACATAAGTAGCTTGACCTTTCTTCTTTTGTCTTTCTTTGGTTTTGTTTGTTTGATAGGAGATTACCCTGCATGCATCTCTTCCATCAAGCCTGCGTGGACCAATGGCTGGCAACCAGCAGGAAGTGCCCTATCTGTCGAGTGGACATCGAAACCCAGCTGACACCTGACAGCTGATGCTTCAGTCAGCCTGGAGTCCGACCCTGCCATTCCCTCGTCCCTCAGGCACATTGCCAAAAGCTTTGAGTCTTCATCACTTACGACCCTGCCTTCTGAGCCAGCTGAAGACAACTGGAACAGCACACTTGTAAAATGCAAGGCAGTCTTTAGCCTGCGGTGGGAAGGCGGGATCTAGGTAGCAGTGTTGGGGCCTCACGTCTCTAGGGAGCTGGTTTTCCCAGACAAGACGAGTAGCACACCGCTATGTTTATTAAAGCCATTTCACACTGAAGGTACTACAATCCAGAGCATGCAGTCCTTAACCTGTTAAGGATTTGTACATATACCTCTATATTTCCTGGGGTTTCCTTAAAGAAAACAGAAGATTAAAATAGCCAGTTGCCCTCTTTGCCTAATGAACCTTGGTAGCTACAGTTTCATGATACGTGGTTTACATTTCAAAGCTTCTGTTTAACTCCACTAGGGAATTGCATTAAGCTATCAAATTTCATGTGGCTACAACTTCCTAAACTATTTTATTAGCTTAAGCCTTGTGGTGTTATGGGTTATGTGCAGTCTTCTTGTGAGTGCAGGTATCTGAGTACAGGAACTACTTCAATTCAACCACTACCTGGCAGAAACAGGCATCTGACTGGGCATGAATGCCCATTCACCGAAGAGTTAAAGAATAAATGCCTCATGTACAACAGAAAACATGAGGTGGGGGAAGGTCAGGTGTTTTGTAATGCCCTGAGCATGCAGAATATAAAAGCCAAATACATATTCCTGATTAAAATAGAGCAGAGTTCTTCTGTGATCATGCACAGTACAGAAAGTAGAGAGAGATAGGATGGAGATGGAGTGCCTGCACTTAGTGACTAGTGGTTGTTGTGGTGGTCAGGGCTCAGGCTGTGTTGGTTTATGTCTTTATTTTAATGGTGCCTCTATGGAGTGAAGTGGTGCCATCAAAATGCATGTTTTCATTGTTGGCTTAGGATGTTTTGTTAGCGTGAACTGAAGAGGGATGTCTGTGCATGAATTTGTTATCTGAGCAATGTGATTTTTTTTAGAAAAAAAAAGAAGAAACAACAACAAAAAATATTAGCACGATGTAAAATGACATTACTGACATGGAGTATCCTGTCCTCATCCTGTCATTTTTATGGCCTCTGATGGAACCCTATTTTGATGTATACCTTTTTGCCTAAAGAACAAGCACATGTGATAGATATTGCAACAACCTCTGTATTTTTTTAATATGACAACCATTCAGTGTTTGGAGAGGATGATAAGCTAGTGTGTATAATTTGTATTTTGGTGTATCAGATCTCCCTTTGTGGTTGCTATGCTGTATTGATAGAACAATGTAGAAAGTTCTGTGGTGGAAGCAGTATCCTCTTTATATTTCATGTGGACAGTATTGCTATAGATGATCGCATGATCACCTTAACAAACAGATGAGAGGAAAAAAGAAGCCATTCAATTCATAAACCAAACAAATCTCTGTCTATCTCAATCACACTGAGACTGTGACTGTTTGACAATGAGCGGGGCCGTGGTTCTTGTTTTTAGTTTATTTTTTAAAATATTAATTGCTAGTGATAGGGATACTAAATTCTTTTGTTCTTATTACTTTCAAAAATGCACTGTATTCTGAATTCACTTCAATTTTCTTGGCTCTATATGAGCATCTGTGCCTATCAACTTCTCTCGCTATGCACTCATGTGCTGCCTAGAAACAAACATCAAGGGATCCTTTTTAATATATTTTGTGCTGGATGTTGAGTCTCCATTTGAGAAAGATCTTCATAAAGAGAAGCCAGGCATGATGTCTGATGGATTTCAGGGGAGTAATGGAGCTTTGACCTCAGTTTCACTGGCACTTGCACATCCTCCAAAATAAGGACTGTTTGTAGTGGCCATGTACTCCACTAGTGACAATGTTAAACATGCTACACAGTAAAAACAAGTAGAAATCTGTAAAATACAACTAAGAGTGAGAAATCAACTCAGCTAGACTGAATATCAGGTGGGATAAAGTCACAATAAATTCAAGAGGGTGATTTGTAGAGAAGGTAACTGGCTCCTTCTCTATCTGTAGTTCATATAGACCTTTTGTGTACACCTAATAGGGCATGATTACTCAGAAGTTTATACTTTACTCCTCCTCAGTTCTAATGTTCAGAAAGATTGTGATAATTTTATTTCCAGCTTAAATGTGAACTACTGTAGGTAATACAAAAAAGCAACAAAAAAACTCAAGACAGAATTACTGTAGCATGCTCAGATATGTACTTAATGGACAATGTCGTCATCTGTTGGAGGGCTTTGACTTTGAGGGATAAAGTTTTACATCAAAGAGGAAAAATAATATCTGAGTGACATCATCAAATGACACCAGTAAAAGCCAGACATTTGAATTTCGAATAAGATTATGTTTGGTGATTGCCATTAGTGTGAAAATAGAGCACCATTCCAGGTCTTGACAGATCTGATCCATTTAGGTAGTATGGTTTTTGAAGTGTAATGCTACTAAAATGATGTATTTAAAGCATGCTGCTAAATATTTCTAATATGCATGTTCTTGTGTTTCACTAAACCAAGGAAATTAACATTGAAAGGCAGGGATCTTAACAAAGTGGCTTGAGATGTGAGTACAGTATTACACACATTACTGAGGTTGTGGAGATCTTACAAATTGTATTCATATCTTTACACAGTCATGTCAGACATCAATTATGTGCTATAGGCTAGAGCTACACTCCTGTGTGATTCAGAACATGCTTTACAGATTCGTTCTTTTTTAAAATAATGGAATATTTCCCACTGCTAAGGAAGACAACATTGTTTCAATACAGTGACTTTCTGTTCTATGAAAGCATGAATTGCTGAAAATTGTGCTCAGCTGTTCACTAGTATAAAGAAAATGGATACTGCATCCCCCAACTCTGTGGAGTTTTCTATGGGAATTTTGATAGTTTACAGGGTGTTGTGAGTTGAAATGCCTTAAGTATTTAACAATCATAATTTATTACTAACTGTAGATATTGTGGGTACTTATTTAATTTTTATAGTTTTTTTGCAATTTTAATTATAATTTATTTATTTAGAAATAACACAAAATGTAAAAAAAAACAATTACCTCATTTTGCATTGTTTATGGGAATGCTTTGCATGTGGTGGTATTTTGCAAAAAAAACAAAACAAAAAAGCTAAAAATAAAGTCACATTTTAATTTAAGAGATCAGGGTGTGTGATGACAAGTGTATTAATGTGGTGCTGTTACTCTTGGATACATTCCATTAAAATGCAATTTTTATGATTCCTTATGCTGTGATCTAGTGGACAAACTGCAATATAGTGGAAATGGTTTTAGTATGTATTCTTTTATTTTTGCACTCTTTGTTCAGCTTGGCTACCCTTCCGTTGGCATATCTGGATTTTTTTCCTGATTTTTGTGTGTGCTTAGCTCACCATTTCATCTTTCAAACCAGGTGTTGTCTTTTGTTTTCTATCCACACAAGTACAATGCATATTCACTCATCCAAAACTGAACAACGCTTAAGTGCCTCAATTTTAGTGGCAAGTAAGATCTCTCCATTTTGTCCAAAAACGGCGATGCTTGCTGTTGGAAAATGTAATCCAGACTTGTTTTTTTTCTACAGCCATATTAGAAGAAATCTGGGATTAAGTGGTTGTTCCAAAAGCAGTCAATGTGCAATCTGCTGTGTGTTGCAAAGCCTGGAGTCTTATGAAACATTTTGTATCTTAAATTATGTTAGAATCTCAACCATGTAGCTCAAGGGAACAGTAATGGAAGCTAGAAAGTATTAGGGGGGGGATTGATAGAAAAACAAAACTGACCTACAGAGGATTCCATATCCAATATCAGATCTTTTGTTTTTTTTTTCATATTCATTGTTTAGATTTTTCAGCTCTTTCCTTCCTGATGTCTTACATCAGTACATATTTCTTGCCAATGCAAAATAAGGAATTCAAGGTACACTTCCAGGTCACAAAAGTACTTCAGCACTGCGAGACATACTTTCCAGCCCAGGGGTGAGGTTTTTTGTAAAGCTGAAGATATCCCTGCACCCAATAATCAATGTCAAATCCTCATGAATTTAAACAAAAGGAAGAACGCACTCTGTACATTTCTATACGTTTTCTAGAGACTACAGATGTCATCGCTCACACTCACTTGCTCACCCCAACCAACCTACACATTCTAAGGACGCTTCTCTTTATTTGATAATTTTTTTGATCTGAGTTGAAAGACAACTGTAAAATCACGACTGAAAATGCTAAGGGAAAGGGTTTTCATTGCAGCTGCTGAAAGGCTAACAAAATGGAAACTAGAAAACGACCATATTTAATTCAGTATGAGACTTGCCTTCTTACATGCTTAACTCAGTGACAACCTGGAAAAGCCAACCATGTGGCAATCTCTTCTGAACATGGGGTCATAAACCACTTAACCATCAAATAATTATCTGAAAATAGACCAAGAATGACACTATTTGTGCAGTATAGCAGAGTCAAGACCACAATGGCATGTATCTCCTGCTTCAGTCCTGCTCCACTGTGTCATTGCTCTCATTACCTAAATAAATCAAAATTTCTCTGAGTGAATAGTATCTGGACTTAGTTTTAAATCTACTGACTCACAGAGTTTAAGAATTTAGCCATAATATTACCTTATTGTAAAAAATAAGTACAGTATCTTAAAGCACAAGCTAATGCATGTTTTTCTCAGGTCTGAATATATACATAACACGTATATTTTAATATACAATATAAATAGATCAGATTTACATTGACTATTACATATGATTACATTTTGCTGCTTTAAAAAAAAATGTGCCAGTGGAAGGGGAGCCTCTATTTTTTTTGTCCAAGGAACTACTGTTTTGCTGTAACTGCGCAAATGTTTTACAAAATAGAATATTTTATAGAAAAAATAGAAATATTTATCATTAATATTAAAGCAATAGCTCATTAATGATGATGAAGAAGTACTAGAAAAGTGTATAATGTGTAAAGTCTTAGTTTCACTTTTGGCGGATTTTGTACTTTATTTATTACTACTACTAATAATTAAAAAAAAATTGCAACGCTAAACCCAAACTGTTTTGTTCATTTTTTTATTTCAAAGCTTGTACATGATCCTTTTTGTATGTGTTTTTTAAATAAATTGCCTAAAATTCAAACCTGTTGAATGCGTTGTATTCAATTAAAACAATTTAATTTTAAAAAGCATAAACTATTAACGAATAGACATACTGCAGTTTGGGTTTTAAAAAACTCCCTTTAACTAGAAACAGTTTTATTTTAATTAACATTGTAAAAAATCAATTGTTAATATGCATTTGTTTTAATTCTTAGGTTATAGCTTTCATGCCTTTTTCTTTTCTCACACAGTTTCCTCTTGGAACAGAAATGTTCCGAGACAGCGAACATAACATCATCACTCCCATTCATACTGGCTTCTCATAGATCTTTCCTTGCTGTTTCCTTTTAAGCGGAGCTCAAATTGCCAAGCTGGATGCTGGTTAGGAAAGGAATTGAGTTAGATTTTTAACTATAATTTTTTTCTCTTGTTAATCTGAGTCTGCTACAGTCAGTTTTAGTTGCATAGCTACAAGCTTTTCTGTATCTATTGAGTATGGCCTTTACTTGATGATGCAAAACTATTTTTCTTTCAATTTTCCTCCTGGAAAAAGTGCTTCTGTGAGGGATACAAGTACATTATACTTTATATCCTTCCATGGACAAAGGGTAATTCTTTAAAAATCAACCTTTTTCTGTGCTCTTCCAGAATCTTCATTTAAAAGAAACAAGAGCTGGCTGTTCAGCTGACTATTTCTAGTTTGCCTTGGAATTTCACCTTTCTCTCATTTTCTGAAGGTTATTACCCTTCTTTGTGATAAGAAAATCTTTTAGATTATTGCTTTAAAGGAATGGACAACGTAATACATGAGTGAAATGTATTTTTGAAGAGAATATGTACTGTATTACTTTATTAATATAAAAAGTGAACGTATAAAGGCACCCAAATGTGCAGATATGTATCTGATATGTTCTTAATTAATTAAAAACAACAGTGTTAATAATCAAACACATCTTAATGTTTTTTTACAACTGTACTGTTTTTGATATTGTATGAGCTTACTATATAGTAAGGTAATCTGTGTATTTTACCAAAATCCTGCACTTAATTAAGCAAAATAATGTTCATATTCTACCTGAATTAAAATTGAAGGTGTGAAGCAGCTTGTTCTAGCATAATTAACCTCAAACTTCTACAAGATACAAAAAATAAAATATCATACACTGTATAGGTAGTCTAAATTATTATTTCTGTTTCATTAGGAAAGTGTCATATTTAGGGAAATGTGCTTGGATTGTGTTCCCTAATTTGAGTTTTGGAATTGTGTTGATATAGCAATGACTGGAACTGCTGGATTAAGTTCATATGTGTTAGGATATATAAAATTCACAGTAAGCCATTTTTAATCTTTTTAAAATTTCAAGTGTTAAAATTTAGATCAGGAAACAAATATGGGTTTTTAATCTAATGCTTTCATTTTGAAGTATTCTTGGAAATTCATCATGAGCCCTAAAAGTATATTGTGCTTTATAACTGATTCCTCAGGTGGTGCTAACCTCACACACAACTCAAAAGTACATTAAGTATATGTACATTTACTATTTCACTAATTATATATTCTTTTTAAAAGGGAATGCAGTCCCAATTTCTCGGAGCGTTTATTACAGTACGTCTCGGTAACAAACAAAATTGATAGTAATTTTAGTGAATTAAACACAAAATCATAACCTTTGTGAAAGTCCTGCATAGTTGCCATTCTGTCACAAATGCCTGGTCTCTCGAGAGTGTTTGCGCGAATTGCGAGCTGAAGCAGACCTTCCTGCTCACTAGTCACTGTAATGAGTGATGTAATGAGAAGTACGATAAGTACACCAATATATAGTTTAGTATAGTTTGTGCAGCAGATATTTTACTGTAGAAATGTTCCAACATGATCTGCCCACAGAGTTAACAAGTAAGCAGTATTTGTCAGATAAACCGTGTGGAAGTAGACATGGTATGATGGTTCAAGATCACTTATATCTGCAACATATTCACAAATATATCATGAAAGTGTCAAATCTCTCTGAAATATTTTTTGTTGCAGGTGGACTGACATTTTATCGCACATGTGTAAAATTGTAATGGTGATTAACGTGTCATCAACAGGTTTGATTAATGTTTTTTTGTGTTTGTGTCTAAATCACGTGCCAGTTCACTGGTCTCAGAGCTATAAATGCCATATGTCATTCCAGGTCATAGCACAAATGTTGTATGGTGCTAAGGTCTGTAGGGTATCTACAGCATGATAATCCTATTCTTATCTAATAGGAAACCTGTTGCTACATGATCGGAGGACATGCTGCTGCTGCTGAAATGTTGTAATTTCAGGATTTGCTTGCAGGAAGGACAGCAGATCAGGTTCCAGCACTTGATCAAAGTGATGATGTGGGGTCAGGTTGCCATTAATCACCTTGAAGTCGACATCTTTTCGTCTGTCGTAGACAACAGTTAGCACATGTTTGTGTACATTTGTGTCACACTCACTAATGTCCATCAGGGAGGTCTACACACCATGATTGATCTGAGGACTGTTCAGTTCCCCACTTAAGGTGGTGCTTTAACAAGCCCACTATAGAAAGCAAGACATATCTATTCCTTTCTGCTTTTTTTATCTTGATTTTCAATTACTTGAATTTTAAGCTAAATTGCCTTATCACCTGTGCCCAGTCAGCTCTGTCACCAATGATTTAGTGCTTGAGTATATCATAGTCTTGAATGCCTTAAATGATCAATTAATAAAATGAAGCATTTAACTTATCCAAATTTCACATATTTAATTTTTTTAAAGCAGACATAGTGCAACACGTTTATTTTAATGTTCAGTATATTGCAACATACAGTACAATATATTTCAATGTTGTATGTTCAATAAACCTCTTACATGTGGGAATTGAACACTGCCTTTCTTAGTGTAAAGGGGAACTGCAACACTATTTTTATATTTTGGGGTTTGAAAGAAACAGCATTGATGAGTCCATTTCAAACCACAATAAAAGTAAAATGTACACATTAACTTGTAAAACATCCAATTTAAATCACAAAATAGATTAGATTTCCAGGCATGCACAGTGCCACATTGTGAGATTCAGAATGAGGCAACAAGATGTCTGGTGACATACAGTATTGCAGCCTTATTACATTATAAACAAGCGGGCTTGTGAATACATTGCTTTTAATCCAATAGAAATATTGATTTAGATTTTGAGACGTTTTGCTGACTGTTACATCCCAGTGTGTGGTCTGTGTGTGTTTTTTTTTTATGTTCCACACTGCTGACCCTTGAGTGTTCTCCCTTCCCCATTGGCCCACCATTACACCACACTTTCTGTATGACATTGTGATCAATTAGCTTATCAGCCAATCAGAGTGCATCTTATTCAGGATATAACATGGAGGTTTTCTGAAGGAAAGAGCCTTTCGTTTGACTTCGGTCCTACAGTACTTGGTTTTGGTTATTGCTTCGGCTTTGTTGGTTTGTTGTTTTGCTTTGTGTGTGTGTATTTTTGTATAGCTTCAGCTTTGTTGTTTTGTTGGTTTCTGTTAGTTTCTTTGTACTCTTGTTTGTTTGTGTGTTCATCCTTGTTTTGCCATTACCTTGCTCTAACGTGTTACATGTTCAACTTTTGTGTTCTTTGTACCCTGTTCCTGTTGATTACACTCGTTTTCCCTTATTTGTATTCCTAATTCACTTGTGTTTTTGTGTGAACTTGTGTATAAGGTTAGTTTAGGTTGTTGGGTACATTCTACACACTTAGTTGATTTTGTGTTAGTAACACTAGTTTAGTACGGGTGAGTGCCGTTTGTCTTGTATGGTTTTGGGTAGTCAGTGGAGGTTAGCTAGGGTGTTGAAGACGCCAAAGACCGTGTGTTTCAGGTTTTCTTTTGTAGTCAGGTTATCTTTCCCTCACCTTCTTAGCCAGCTCCGTTTTGTTTGTTTTTTTTTCTTTGGCACCACTCTAGTTCCTTACCCTTGTTATCACGCTTCCTAGTCCCTCACCAGAACCCATCTGCTTCCAAAAGAATTATAATGTTACACCCCTTTACCCCTAGATGCTTGGGGTCGTAAAAATAACAAATACTACTTACTTGTTAAATTTTTTTATGTAGATCATGTTGGAACATTTCTGCGGTGAAATGTCTGCTGCACCACCTACAGTATACGTATTCGCCTGTACATTACATTACAGTGACTAGTGAGCAGGAAGGGCCACATAACAATCTGTGGAACTTGAATGCAAGTTTGTAACAACATGGTGATTTACAGTACTTTCACAAAGTTCACGATTTTGTGCTTCATTGGAAATTTGTAAAATATTTCTATATTGTCACTGAATTTGTTTCATTACCTACTGTAGATTGAATAACTGGTCTGAGAAATTGGGACTGCAATTCCCCTTTAAAAACCATTCAAGTGATCCAGGTTTGGTCCCTGTCCCAAATTCTTTCCCCTAAATGTTTCAAAACATTAAAGATTATTTTAAGTCTTAGTCTGAATTAATTGGGAACACTGAAAGTGAAACACTGTTTACTGTTCAAAAATGCAAAACCTTGTATATACATGTCTGTTTGATTGAAATGTGTCTTCTAATTTATTTTAAGCTTAACTGAGAAGTGAAAATGTATTTAGCAAACAACATTTAACTTTAAAGTTTTATTTTTTAAATGAATATGATTAAGATATTAAAAAGCACCTGAATAGAGTTAACTAGAAGTATTACAAGTACAACCCCATTTCAGGGTTTGTACAGGATACAGGTCTTGTTTGACTTTTCAGGACTACCATTAAGTTGGCAGATACTTTCACTCAAAAGCACTCCTGGTTATTCAAAACATTGCAGCTACAAATATACTGTATATATTAATATGAATATTAATATTAATATTATTATTTTGACGTGCTATTATCTTTGATATATGATATAATACAATATAAGCCTCTCAATCAAGGTGAAAAAAAAACCACAAACACCCCTGGTCTCTAAATAATTTGATAATAATTTTAATTATACTTGGCAAGCTAACATTTTGGCAGCTCTATCAACAGTCACAAAAACATCTACCGCTTTTAATTATAAATAACTAAAATGGATGATATGGCAACAAGACAGCACAATTTAAAGTTTTTCCATGCAAGTCTAGACAATGAATTTGCAACAGAAAAAAGACGATATCATGTTTTAAATATATTCCTAAAATGAGAGACTACTCAATTTTTTAATCTGGGTTTCTCTTTTGTAGTATTTCATTACACAACAAAACATGGTTTTTCACACTTTTTCCCAAACCAAAAAGGGTAACAAAAAAGAATACTTGGCATCTCGTACATGTCTGCATTTAGTGTGATAATGCAAACTAAAAACAACAAAAGCCCAGGGGTACATTTTATGCATGACAAATCACTTTTGCCCCAGCTCATCTAAATCATAATCAATGTCATTTTCCGAAATCTACACACACCATAAACAAACCTCTCTTGTCACATCTAACATATCCTTCCTCCACCCCATCTCTGGCTTTGCTACCTCTTGGTTAGCTCTTCACCATGAAGGGAGGTCTGAGCCTCAAACACATCTAATTCTTGAATCATGTATTTCTTAAGAAATGCTACAGTATTTGTGCATGGATGTTGTGACAGAATCCAGATGTTAATTAATGTCTTTTCAATAAACTCTGTAAAAAAACTTTGGTTCAGTAATATCCACACTAAGAAGCTTCATCCCACATAATGTCTGCTCCTACTTTCTCTTACAGCCATGTCTTTCTTATCACCAAAATCACCATGGTACAATGCAGAGTATCCCGTAAATTCTTTCTTTTTTCTTTTTTAAGTTAGTTTTGTCCCACTTGCTCAACACAGTTTAGGTTCTCTCACATTTTATAAACCAGGATTGGTTGCCTTCACAGCAACTGCCTTTAGATGCCTTTCCAGTCATCAAAAAGATAAAACTGCAAAAATTTTATTCATGTTTTTGTTTTTATTGTTAACCAGTTCGGAGTTTAAAGGAGGGTTTTAAGATTTGGAATTACCAAGTGTTTTTCCTTGAATTTGCCAACAGTCAACCTACTAAGCTAAGGTAGCAACCCTTGGAATGATAGGTAAGGCATGATGACTGTGCTGGTTGTTCTCTGAAACACACACTGTTGGCACCTTCCCCTTCTCATTCGCACTGCGAGCCCACAGAAGGAACTGCAGAGTTTGCACTGTCTGGAGGAGTGATGTGACTCTCATGAAAACCCCTGCAAGCTAACGGTACTGTAAGTCACACTGAGAACCTGTGATGAATGGAGTATAGGGCATAGCCTGTCCTCCAAAAGGAAATGAATTGCTTCATCTTATACAGGAAAATACATAGATTATAAGAGTAGTTCTCAAGTTTTTAATGAGAGAATAACACTGTGGGGCAAACAAACCTGGAGGATCTTAGCAGCAGATTATAAAAGAGAAAATGGAAATGCAGGTACCTTTAGGCCTCTAGACTTTAACTTTTCTATTCTGAACCGTCAGACAATATAGAAATTTCCATTATTATCATTAATTCATTTCTACACATTCATTTAAGCTTTTGTTTTATATATGTTATTTCATCTTAGACTTTGAAACCAACGGCAAATAACTGAAAAGTTTCACATCAGAAAGTGATTTTTTTTCAGTGTTTCATCTTTCATTTTAAGGGAAACAATATTGAATCAAGAAATAATATTGATTTACAGCAGAACAGACTTATGGTGACAGTCTGTAGACTGATTCTCCAGAGCTTGTTAAATTGTGGTAAAAAAAACAAATACAGTGTTTAGGAAAACATGCCAGTTGAAAATGTATCTTATGACTGTATGTCATGTGGTTGGTTTAAAAGTTATGAGTGCTTTTGTTTAAAAATCGTATTTCAGCCATATTCCAATGGCACTGTCTGCAGTGTGCAGTCCACATTTTACAGTCTATGAATGTATACCATTTTATACAGTATATTGTCAGATTACCATTAAAGTAACTTGAAAGTAACTGTTGACTCTGCCTTCAAACATGCCTTTGAAATAATTGCTTAGCTGCCTCCCCAGTGTAAAAAACATACAAAAGCATGAAGCAGTAAAATCTAATATAAAAATTAAAAGCAAATTTCTATTCATGATATGCAGTTACAAAACGTAGCTGAGTTATTCTGTCTTTTTTAAAGTATCAGGGTTCAACAGGGTCTTGCAGAAAAATATTAATATTTAATACAAAATATCTTGAAGCCCTTAAGAATTGTAAGTATTAAGTATAATAAATAATTTTAATTCTGTATCATTCTTCAACCATTTCAAAATACATGCCATCACTGTCTTTATCTCTATGTGGCATAATGTCAATAAAACATTGTTTTTCAATGGAATTAAACCTAATTTATTATTAAATCCTGATAATGATATAAAAGCACAGTAGCAGCAACCCCCTGATGAGTCATACATACTACACGTGGTGGCACAACAGAGTGTATAGGAGTGTAGAACAAAGTGTATAACAGGCAAACCATTAGTTTAAATTTTTATAGATCCCTCTGAGACAGTCATTGAAAAACTAATGAGAACATAAAACATAAGAAGGATGACTAGTGACAGGCCATTTGTCCCATTTACCTTGGTTAGTTAATAGTAGGTAATTGATCTCTCATATTTCTTTAAAGAAGCCAAATTGTACAACATAAAATGCCTTAACCGCCATATTATTGCCATTTTAATATCAATGATTCTATCCATTTTTCAGAAGGCTGTCGGATACATACTGTAATTTTTTTTAAAAGAAAAGGCTCTAAGACTTTCTATCCCATTGATTTCATTAGACATTGGAATAAAACAAGCTTTAGGCCTTTGTATGGGAAAATCCAGAATGCATCTGAGAAAATTGTAAAGGAAACCATCAAAGGGATTTTAGTCATATAATTTTATATAATAAATAATAAAAAAACTGTAAGTTTCTATTAAAGGTCAACATGAGCCTTGAGCTACTGTATATACATTTAGCTTTGATGGAAGTGGGCATTTTCATGTCTATATTCATAGCTATGTCCTACCAAATTATATTAGTGCCCTGATGGCACTGATTTTAAATAATTAATAATAAATGAAAAATAATTAATTTTCAGTCAACACTATATAACAAAAGATGATGGTTTTCGGTAGTTTCTCTTAACATGATGTTATAATAATGTACAGTTACAGAAGAATTACTGGTAGAAATGCAGGCTTAGATTGTACTTATAAAAGATGGGTTACAATTGCCTTGGAAAGGCTTTCATGATTAATTTCACAAAATGCTAAGGTTTTCATGTAGTTTTTGACATCAAGCACAAATCAGACCAGACACAAACACATACTGTGTATTGTACAGTATATCCAGCAATGTGACCCTGAGAATGAGGCAGACATTTATGGCAAAGATGTGAAAGTTCCACTTTTTGTGATTGCCTTTTTCATTCTCTTGTTCAACATCATATTAAAATAAGTGCTCCCCAAAAGAAATTACACCGTCTTTTTTGAAGTGCTCCTGACAATCTGCCTTGCATTGGCAAAAGAGGAGGTGAGAAAAGAGAAAGATATATTTTGAGTATTCCTGACTAAAAGGGTGTGCTTAGCATTATCATAGAAACAGAAGAAAAATATGAAAATAACCTCTTCAGTATTTGGGATAAATCACTTTATAAGTCTGCCTGTCCGCCCTTTTGGTGTCCAGCCACTTTCCACATAGGAAGATGGTGGTGACACCATTGGCAGTGTTTGTAATCTCCACACGATCCAGCAACCAGCCGGGATTCAAACCAGTATTGTCATGCTCCATTTTCACTTTCAGTAGCTCGCCCAAGTCAAGCATCTCCAGTAGAAAGCGGTCAGTGCGTCCACGCTCAAACAGGTTCCTGAACTTTTGCTTGAGTGCTCGTTTGCCTGAGTCCCCGTTTGAACCATAAATGGTGATGAAGACATTGGCATCAGTCCCTGCATCCTTCTCATCTGCTGTGATCACAATTATCTCATATTTAACAGGTACCAGGCTCCGGGCTTTGCTGGCAAAGCTTTCCATTACTTTCGAACACTCAAAGGTTTTGAAATCATCCCTTTTGGATGAGAGTGGGATTTGTGCATTGCACCGGAACACATACCTAAAGAGTACAATAAAAAAGAGAGAAAATAACAGCATGATATTTAAATAATTCACAAAAATAACATAATCCTGACCTAATTATATATAAGCACATGTAAAGTCTAGACTTTGCTGATTCAGTGTTTGACCATCTTTTATTTTTCCTTTCCTGTTCTCTCACTGCACATTAAGGCTGTGGTTAAAAATATGTCTTAATGCAACACACTGTCTGAGTCAATGAGGACCTCTCACCTTTTGGTGTAATAATGGATTGCCTTCTGGGCATTGACTCAACAGAGTCTAGTAAATCCAGCTTTTTTCTAGTAAATCCAGTAAATTTCTAGTTTTTTTTTTTGGCAATTTTGTGGTTTTGAATTTGCAGTGCCTTGAAAAACTGTTTAACTGTCCTGCAAAGTTTTCAGGTATTATTGACATCTGAATTTGTAATCATGACACTTTCAAATAAGACTTTCTATTCAGAATATTTGCAATCGAGTCAAAACTGATAAAGCTAAAAGTGCAGAATAAAGCAGAATTTGGACGATTTCTAACATAAGCAGTTAACCCCTTTGCTACAGGGACATCAAGCCAGAGGGATCATTCACCCCTCATTGTTTTCTATGAACTAATCCTAAATCCAAACCATAGTGTCCCAGATGTCTTCAGACATTTGCTGTAGGTTTTTTCCAGCTGTCCTGATCACATTGTGCTGTACTGACATCACTGACATGATTAAAAAACAATAAAATAACTATCTGGGTGGACACTGTAGCCAAATGATGGTACATCTCAGAATTCACCACTCCAAGATGCCAAATATATATTTTCTGTGAATGACTGAATTCACCAATGTCTTGTTTTCATAGGGGTTAGGATGCACACAATGCATGTGTATCACAATATCCTTTTTCACACAATAAGACAAGTTAATTTCTTAATACCTCTAAGAGCTATTAAAAGTTAATATAAATCGATTTTACCATTTGATGATAATATTAATAGTTATTATTAGTGTTGTAATTGTTTATTAAAAGTTAATTGCCCTGAGAGTTATTTTTCAGGTGTTGAAAGTTATTTGAGGATTTACTGGATGATCTATATAAAGATAGCATCATTACAGTACATTTGCCTCTCAGCATAGAAAATACACATTTCTTCCCTGACTGCTCAGATCAGGTATACTCACTTGTTTTGAAGCTCCTTTTCTGTGACAACAATCTCCTGCACGTGCCAGAAAACTTCGTTTTTGGATGAAACTTTTCGGCCATCTTTTGGACAGTGCCCAACACAGATGGTTGCAACGTCACCGATAGTTTTAGAAGGAAAATCAAATCTGTCAGTTGCTCCCCTGAAAGAACAATAACATGCAATGAATACAATAACAGTTAATAGAAAAATCTAATATTTTTTGGAATTTGTACAATTTATTTTTCTTCACAATTAAACCACTACAAAAGGCTTGCAGGTTACGTGAAGGGTTGCACATAACATCTGCTAATAATAAGCAAGAAAGGTAACAAAAAAAACTAAGAAGCTCAAATGCTGAAAAAAAATAGACATAGGATAATACCCCGTGGATAGGGCTAAAGTTGGAAAACCCTTTGATTCAGCTTTTACCCTTTCTGTGTAATTTCATTTGAAAACTGCCAACATTATTTTTTAGTGAGGAATGAAAAAGGCACAGAAAAGTAAGGCTTTCATTAAAAATACCGTTGAAATTTCTTTTTCTTTGAAGAGTTCTCCAGGAGGAATTCTTTAGAACGTCCCTTCTTTCCTTCAAGCACAATCCACACATTCTCTTTCGTTTCGGCGTCATCTGTGTCACAGGTTGTTGTAACAATTTCATATCCTTTCAAAGAAATACAGAATTTATTACTCAGTAAATTAATGGTAACATCTATCCATTTTTTAAAATCATGCTAAGGTTGTTGATTCTGTTGTCCAAGAATCTTAAACAGATATTTTGTGGCTATTAAAATATAACTGAGAACTTAAATGTTGCTCCTCCATTATTTATAACATATTACAGTTTTCATTAACATTATAGTAAATTGTAGTTAAAAACATCTAGCATTTTGATCACCTGAAGAATATTTCCAGTAACCTAACAAGGACAAGC